TCTAATTTTTTTCATGACAAACGAGGCCTGAGGAAAAAAAAAAAAAAAAAAAAAAAAAAGCCATTTTTCAATGGGACACAGTTGTTTTCAGGTGTCTGGATCATATGGCAGCCAAATGACCCCAAAGCCATGTCACCCCTCCTCTAGAGGGACTTCTGTTTAATTCGTTTAGCTTCAGCTTGGATCAAAAGTTGTGGGTATTCAAGAATATCCAGTCTGTGTCTCTAACCTAAGTAAAGAACTACTTAAAGCTGTTTCCTCCCACAAGAGCAGGATGTCACTAGAAGGATCATGATTACTCCTGCCTGAAAGGGCTCAAGTCACCCACATAAAGGCAAATCTACTGGGGTTTGCTCCCACTGTAGTCCCTCTGACAGAAATCACGTATAGCAGGGACCGTGCTCACAAAGGCTAACTCCAGTGTGGGGGAGCTGCAACCAGCCTCTCTGACTCACCAGTCAGCCACCAACAGCTTCATGGACTCAAAATCAAGAGAATCACAATCCTGTGGCCATGACCAGGAGGAGCTTCTGGTGTCAGTAGCAGATCCTCCCATACCTCATTCCAGGACAAGCCAAGGATGCATGGTGAGCTGAGTCTAGGGCGAGTGAGTGGTGCTGGCCTTGCACAACCTTTGCTGGCAGGCTTCTCATGCTGGAGGATTATCCAGCACAAGCCCTATAATGGGACCTGCACTTGAATGGCTCATCAGGCACAAGTGGCTCAAGGAGCCCAGCATGGCCACCTCCACTTCTAGGGGGCGAGTTCCCTTCAGCAGCCATGGCAATAATAGTGGGCCTTCACCGGTGGTCACTCCTCAGCACCACAGCCCCGATCTACTGGGGGAGCCTAAGTCTTTCCATATGTGGAGATTCGCTCCAAAACCATTACCAGCTTCTGTGAACACCTTCCTATAACTCAACCAGCCCCAGGACAAAGGAATCAAGGAGTGGCTGAGATAAAAGCAAGACAATATTCATTCAAATCCAAGGCTACTTACAGCACCCAGAATCTGCAGATTGGTTAGTCATGGGCAAGACACTTGAGTTACTTATAGACGGGGAGCTATTGCTAATGTTAATGAGATCCAACAGTGAACCTGGAGCAGAGGTTGCCATGCCTAGGGGAAAAACAGTATTATCAAAGAGCTAAAACATTCCTAGCAAAGCAAATCCAAACTAATACCATTCATGTTTTCCGCAGCTGAAAAGCAGCAATAGAAGTATTATAAATAGAAATAAAAATAAACATATTATCATATCACAAACGCATAAAGTAACATATTATCTTAATTTTTGAGATTAAAGGATTGTAAAATTGTTTTCTAACTAAAGCACTGAACTGCATGCACTTATTTATCTCATTATCTTTAAGCCTATTAGCAGGCTCATTGATGTCTGTAGGCTGGAAGTATTTTGCCTCGATATTTTGCTGAACTGGTTCCACAAAGTATTATTTCACCCAACAGCTGCCTTATGTGGCACTTTCTCCCACTAGGAGGAGAAGGGGCACTGTGTCCATCTTAGCTTTGTAGGTGGCTCCTATGATAGACCACAAGGTTCTGCAGAAGCATTCTCAGCATTTCCCAAGGTGAGACCTACATTTCCTACCTTCCTTGCTTGTGCTCAGACGTTGAGGGTTGACATCTGCATGTTCATGCTGAGGGTTGCAGCTGTAATACCCCTCCAGATTTATGCAAGTGCTGTTCTCAGGACAAGCATTGAATTCAGCATAGGAACATTCATTGACATCTAAGGAAAAGGAAACACATTGCACAGGTACTGAGAGCAGTGTCAAGACTGAGCTGCAATGGATGTAGACCAGGCTCTGGATACGACAAACTCAGCTGCCCTTCCCCAAAACTAACCCCTGTTCAGTTACAATGCTATCACCTTTTCTCCAATTCTTTGGAATAAAAGAACAGTTAGTGGCAGCTCTTGCTTATCGCTCCAGGGTGTCATGCAAAACTAAGAGACAACAGCACAGGGGAAAGGAGATCTACCCAGTGACTTTGCTGAAAGTTGGATTGAGTTTTCAAAAGTAAACACAGAATAAGAGGTGATGACAGCAGTGCTCATGGAAGCATTTCAGGAGTGGAAATGTTCAGATTACTACACAGAAATAAGTAGATTAAAATAATTTAAACCAAATATATTTAAATATTTATATATCATATTTTTAAAAAGGTAATAATAGACTATAGTAATTAACAGTCTATAAATACTTATTGGTTCATGCAAGATACTGGAAGTAACACATAAAAGCAAAGTGTATCTGCTTTCCAATAAAACACTTCCTTTAAGAGCCTGTTTAATACCACTAATTATTGTGTTACAATTTTGAACACCTTTGCTTTTTCATTTGAAGATGGGCTATGCTATGAGGAGAAAATAAATTTAATTGAGGAAGCAGAACTATTCCCCTCCAAACTATTTGCTCCAACATAATTATTAACTGACTACAACTTCATCAACATTGACTTCATCAATGGTTAGGTTAGGGCCATATTTGCAAATTTTATAAGATTCGCTACACTGTATTTTTGAAAGAAAATGGAGAGTCATACAGATAAAACTACAGGTGAAAAAGGATTAAACCCCCTGAAAAACCTTCCCCCCGTATATAATTATATAGAATTATAATAATTAACCTTGCACTTCTATGTTAATCACTTCATATGTGCGCTTCACAATGTCCTTCAAGGAAGAAGAAACCTCTACCAGTGGAGCCAGCTGGTGTAGTCCAATGAGAACTTGAGAGGCCACTGTCCCAGCATATACTTCTGCATGGTTACTCTGGATATGGTGCACAGAGGCATTCAGGGGCTGTAATGCACCAGTAATCTGGAAAACGGGGGAACAAGCACTTCAGTATCTCATTCCCTTCTAAGCACAGCTGTACACCCATGAGGCATAAACTAGGCAATGATTATCATCAGAATATGAGTGTAGAAGGCACCAATTCAGAAACCATAGCAAAGTGTAAACATTTAGCTGTGTACTTATGCAAGGTAAGCCCCTTATTAGCATCCCATTACACAAAAGAGCTACAGTTCAGTAATGCCAAGCTGAGGGAGGTGCAGAGCTGCGTGCCAGGTCTCAAATGCATAGGCAGGAGGATGCAACCCAGGTTCCTGCAGACCCTCCTTCTGGGAAGCGTGCCAGCAGGACAAACACTTCAGCCTCTGTCATGGCTGTGTTTGCCTTGGTTGCCTCAGACTCTTCCTGCCTGCCATGTCGGGATGGGAAGAGGCACGTTGTGCTGCTGCTGGCTGGATGTGCAGATGTTGCTGCCAACACCACTGCTCACCTGTGCATGGGGCAGGGACTTGGTCCTACAGGAAAAGCAGCACCTGGCTGTCCCCCCCAGAGCACTCCTTCTGTGACAAGAATGACAATGAAACGCCCTTGACCCAGACATTGTCCCCTGCCATAATCCTGAAGTTTCACTGCAAAACTTGGGGTGCTGCTGACCCCATCTGCCTTGTAGTTCCCCGTGCTATAGGTCGGGTTTGTCTCGTGAAAGGCTTATCTGAAAGCTCCTTATCAGAAAACATCATGCCTTGCGGGCCCTGAAATCTGGACCCAGACAGTCATAGACCCAAAATTGAACTGAGACAGACCTGGACTAAGCATCACCTAAGCAGGAAAAAACATCCTATATTTCAGAGTATCTTTAAATTGCCCTTGGAAGAGACCTGAACATTTTTCTAAAGACGTGCATAAATCACTGTTTCTTAAGCTCCTTGAGGATGAGGCTGACATCCACCAGTTAGGGATAAATTGAGGCCCAAAAAAATTATCTGGCAGAACAAAGGGACAGTGGCTGTCTGGCAAGGTTAAGCTGAGCACAGAGGACTGTGAGGTCCCTCCTGGGCTGGAGCAAGTGGTGGTTACTAACAGAAGCATGGATGCAAAAAGGAACACACGGGAACATGCATGTTTGTACATACCATGGAGTGCAAAAGGCGTGAATGATTCAGAAGGTGGGAATCCACTCTGATCAATTCGCCAAAATCCATTTTCACAAGCACTGTCACGTTGTACCAGAATGTTCTTCCTGAAGCATAAAAAATGAAACAGCCAAGTCATCTGAGGTCTGATGCTACAGAAAGCGACAGGGCTATAGGAAGGTTCTGAGAAACCAGAGTGAGCTTAAACTTGGCAAATAGGAAGGGCCCACGTACAGACATCAGCCACAGCCTCATTCACTGGATGCCACAGGCAGCGCAGCCGGTGAAGGGGAAAAACCTGAGCAAGGTTCACTGGACTTGCAGCACCTGCAGCTCAGCACTTGCAGGTGCAAGCACTGACAATTAATAACCTGAAATTGATCCAGGGCAGATTCCCGTATTTGTTTTATGAAGAGCTATGGTAACAGTTTTCCTGCCCATTCCCAGGCTCAGAAGGAAAAAATAAGCATATTCCTATTAGAAGCAGTCTTGAATTTATCAGTAACATACCCTCTGGCATGGGATCCACACAGACTCCTCCTTTGGATGAGCTGCAGCATTTTTTAAGCCCTGGACATTCAGTATCAAACATGCAAGGATAATCAGATGTTTTCTTATTCTCCATTGGACAAACACCAGGTCTTGAGGCAAATACACTGGATCTATTGAGTGCTAAGTAACAAAAACATTTTTGAGAACAAAAATATAGAAAATTCCTTCCATAAAATTTCAATTACAGTAAACACCTCCTCCCCATTCTACAAGTTTGTCTGTTCCGAGGTTTTCATGGGGAGAAAATAGCTGCCTAAAATACCATTATTTCAGTTCAAGAGTGTAAATATTTTCAGATTTTTCTCTTGTCTATGACATTTCTGTTACAGAAATTTTGAATTCATAGTTTTCCATTAATAATTATGCATAGACAGACAGTTTCTAAATATAGAGACACTGAAGCACTGCAGAACAGAAGATGTGCCTGGTGTCAGCTATGACTAAACCAAATAATATACAATGATCAAAGGCAAGAGGTAATATCTAAGCTAGAAATTGGGAGTTTTCATTTAACCTTTTGTTGCAACAAAGTTAACATTTAGTTAAAATAATCAAAGGTGTTAATGTGAGTGTGGAGACCGAATGCTGATCTCAAGTACATTTCAGTGGCAGGAGACCAGAACTGTGGTAGCACCTGCTCCATATCAGCCAGCTAGCCACTCTGGGAGGTTGCTAGCCCACAGCAGACAGCTCTACAGAGGCAGGGCAGCTGAGTCAGAGAGTTACTGCTTCCCAAGCCAAGGGCAGACACTGGTCCTGGCTCAATGCTGGCACATACTCTTCTCCAGATGAGAAGAATAAAATATTTCTAATCTCCACAAACATTATTTTCACCCATGCTCTCAAACATAGCCCCAAGTAATGCTCATTTTTGGTCTTTCCAATCAACCTAAAAGATTTCTCTTTGCCATCCATTTTGTGTCTACAGGTTTTTGGTCCTACAAACCCTTGCTCCGGTACAGGGCAATTAAAGTAATCCACTGGACATGCAGTCATATCTGCATAAAGAAATAGCCAACTAATACCAGTGCTTTTAAGACAGTGGTCTGTGTCTTTTTGGGCGCCCACAAGATGCTTGTCAAGGGTCTCTGAAAGGTAATTAAGAAAACTCAACATAGCTTAACCATGGGGGTCCACACCTCCACTGAAAAACCTGCTCAAAACCACAAGTTGGAGAGCAGGAAATGCACTGAGTTGAGATCTCTTAGCAGCATTCAGGCTACTTGCAGGTGTACATGTAAAGATTTCCATGCAGAATACTTGGGACAGCACTTTCCCACACTCATAGGATCATTAAATCATAGAACAGTTTGGGTTGGAAGGGACCTTAAAGATCATTTAGTTCCAACCTCCCTGCATGGGCAGGGACACCTCCCACCAGACCAGGTTGCTCAGAGCCCCATCCAACCTGGCCTTGAACACTTCCAGGGAGGAGGCATCCACAGCTTCTCCAGGTAACCTGTGCCAGGGTCTCACCACTCTCACACTAAATTTTTCCTAATATATAATCTAAATCTACCCTCTTCCAGTTGGAAATCATTCCCCCTCATTCTATCACTACAAGTCCTTGTACAAGCCCCTCCCCAGCTTTCCTGTAGCCCCTTCAGGTACTGGAAGGCCACTATGAGGTCTCCCTGGAGCCTTCCGTTCTCCAGGCTGAACAGCCCCAACTCTCTCAGCCTGTCTAACATTCTATTTTATATTGTATTTTATGTGTATACTTTGTGTGCACATGGCCAATGAGCACAAGCTTTAACAGGGCTGTGAGTACCTTTCAAGCTGAGTTGGTGTTAGACTCACCAGAGCTATCAGCAGCAAATTAGGAAAGACTACCCCCAATCCCCCAATGAAAAGCTCACTGCCTTGAAGGAGCAGGATTTCTCCTGCTACCTAATGCAGCTTGGTGTGGGACCCATCATGTCTTCAAACCATGGTCCCTTGACAGCCTTTAGCATTCCACACAACCAGCTCTGCCTCCACAGTTCATTTTGAGTCATAGGCCTAGGTTTACAGTGTGGGGCTGAGGGGAAAAAAAAAAAAAAAAGTATATACCCTGTGCAATCTTACTCTTGTTACTTCTGGATCCAGCAAGCCCCAGTAGACCTCTTCTGCTTCCCAGCCTGGACCAGGGACCTCTTCTTCTAGTTCTGGGGCTGGCACTATGGGCCATTTCGCCAAATGGGTCCTACTGCTAGAAAGCCTCTTCCTGATTTCTAGTCTGAAGCCACAATGTGTAATACAGGCTCAGCTGCCCTTGGATGAGTCCCCCATGTATCTCATGCAATTGCTCCCTCTCAGCCTCCCAAGCAGGGAACCTAAGCAGCCTCTTACACTGGGAGCTTGCCAGCTGTGAGCACCAAGGGATTTCACTGCTAGTTTATCATCAGTGCTCTTTACTATTCATAGAATCATAGAACTATTCAAGTTGGAAAACACCCTTGGGATCACCGAGTCCAACCATCATCCCTGCTCTACAAAGTTCTCCCCTAAGCCACATCCACCAACACCACATCCAAAATGGACTCATGCATGTAAATCACTCCAGCTCTGAAATTCAGGTACAGTTCAAGTAGGTTTAAGGTTCAAAGCAGCTTTTTCCACCTAGGTTTGTTTTGTTTTGTTTTGTTGTTTTTGTTTGTTTGGGATTTTTTTGGCATGTTTAACTGTGGTGTAAAGGATTTAATGAGTCACATACAATCTCAGAGAACACCATCGAATCCTGGCCTCGTGCCATGGTAGCCATTTCTCTAAAATCAAAAGGTCATAATTTTCACATCAGCGGAAACAGAGATGGATTCACATCACACTTCTCTGCCTAATTGTGCAGATGTGCTTTGAGAATCTGATTTATTCTCTCCACTTCAATCATCCTGGGGACAGTCACCAACCAAGCAACACTGCCAGCACTATGGAGCAAGGCAGCCAGCTCCTCCATCAGTCAGATAAAGTTTAGGCTCTTCTCCTCCATTATCTGCATAAACATACAGAAGCAGAAATGCAGCGCCCAGTGCTTAGCAACAAAAGCTCAGTAACTAGCCTGCCCACACGAGAGCCCTCGGGTCTGCTGTGACTGCAGGATGAGGAGATCTCCCAGGAGACAAATGCTGAGGGACTCTATTATCTCATCCATAACCTCCTTCCTCTCCTTCCTTCCACCTGGAGGGGCCAGGTTTCATCCTGCGGGTGCAGCAAAGTCAGGGACCAAAGCTTTGCATTCGTCAAAGGCATCAGAAAATGATATTATAGGAAGAACTCCTGGCAAAGCCTGCTGCTAAGGCAGACTGAGAGTTCTTGTCACATTACTCTGTTTTGGGGGTCTTTGAGCATTGCTAGTCTTTACCCACTCAGATGCTTCCATCCCAGTTACCTGTCTGGGGGTTAATCAGGATGGAGGACATACTCTGGTTCAGCACCTGACAAATATTTAACACCCTTCCTTCATAATTCACTAGAACACATTCAGGAGCCACGAGCTGAAGTTTGTCAAGGACGCAGCTGTTGGATCATAGAGGAACATGACATTCAAAGCACAGAAACAGTCTACATGCTCAGAATAAACTTAATGAAATTTAGCCACTGCCACCTGCAAAGGGTTCATCCTGCCAGCAGCACAGCGATGTGGCCCTGCCCTGCCTCCTTGGTGCTCACACCAGCAATCAGCAAAGAGCCACCAGGTGATGAGCTTACAGTAACTGAATGGAGCAGATAACTTGGACAGAAAGACTACTAAAAAGACTGGAAATCTGCTGCAGAAAGGAGAAAGCTGAGAGGATGCACAAATATACAAAATCCAAAAAGCAGGGGGTAAGGTGAAAGCAGAGCTGGTACCCACCAGAGCCCACAATAATAAGATTGGCAAAAGCACCGAGTTCTTTACCCAAAGGGGAGTGAACTTCTGCAATGCATCAGCACAGGAGGGCACAGAGCTTGACAGTTTCATTGGGTTCCAAAACAGACAAGACAGTTCCTAGTCAGCAGGCCCATAAGCAGACACCACAGGGAACAGGAAGGGTCAACACCCTCCAACACCCATAATCCCAGCTCTGTGAATGCTGCAGGCACACAAGGGACCCAAAGTGGAGGGCAGCCAGAGACATCTGCTTCTGGGTGAGGCCCCTTAGGGAATTTAACAACTTCCCACCCTGGGGGGATGCTGCAATGCTGCCTGTATGCCTCCAGTGACAATGCTGTACCGTGGCTTTCTGGTGACAGCCCAAGAGGGGTGACATCTTGTACTGGAGCTTCTCACTGCTCTGGTTAAACTCAGCATGCAAATACCTGCACACAGGCTTTGAAAGGTCCCAGCCCTGTTACCTGGGCACCTGAAATGCACAGGTTTTAACTCCAGGATTAAAATTGTATGGGCCTTCTTACTTCAATATATTTTTGTATACATATGCTTTAAAACCAGCCCTCCTCACATGCTGATGCACTCTTCTGGTCCCTGGCTGGTGATCCAGTGGGGTTAGATGGAAGGTAAGGAAGGAGACTCTTGCCTATAGCTTCTCTGGTGGAATGTAGGCAGTAAACTAGCTACCAGGAGAAGTAACCATGCCACTAATTGAAGAAGCTGGAAACTAGCCTGGGGAATTGGACCCTAACTGTACCTTAAATAAATTAAATAATTAATTAAATAAATATTAAAGAAAACCTGCAAGATGCTGGGAAAGTTTTGTACAACAAACTCATAACAACCTTTCAAAAGCCATGGGTTTCACAGGTCCAGAAGCCTGATCTGCCAGCCATGGGATCTGATTAGCAATTGGGGCACTGCTTACAGTCACCATCAAGGACATGAGGCTCTGCACTTCACTTAACAGAAGTTGTTAAAGGCAGTGCTGAGTGCACTGAAAATTAACAGAAATTTAAGAAAAAAATGAAACCACACCCTGAGAGTGGGCACACAAAATGGTTTGATCTCAGTTTCTCTGCAGCCCAGTTGCGCAATCGTGAAAGACAGAACCTCCCTCCCTCCCCGCAGGCATGGGGAAAACAAATTGCTGCCTGTGAGTCACCCCAGGATTCACTTCAAGAGGTGATAAATAATTCTCTATTCAGAGAGAGGCTCAGCTGAGCGCTGCACGCAGAGGTCAGGACGAAAGAAGCTGCTGGGAAGCTCCTTAGAGGGGCTTCCCCATCCCTGAGCACCATAGGTAAAGGAGAACCTGGGGGCAAGGCAGTGCCCAACCAGGCAATTAGAGTGTGCTAATATGCATGAATAGGCGCAAAGAGAGGAAGCAAGATTCGTTTTATTTAATTTAATTCTACCTTTAGAATTAATTCTAGCACTTCCTAACTTTCAGATACTTAACTTTGCAATTTTTATTTTTAAAAACTTACGGTGGTTTGTGTGTGCATGTGTAATGTTCTCCTAAGGGATGCACAGGCAACTAGTGAGAACAACTGGAGTAACTTTATTACTGATCTAGATGTTTTTTCCCCAACAGTAAAGAAATAAGAAAAGCAGGGCCTGCCATATCCCGGGTGGGGGTAAATATTTCCTTCTAAGAAGAAAAGGTGGGGAGTGGCCTGGAGCAGGTTACCATGGAAGGTCATGGAGATCCTTCTGCTCCTAGCAGGATGGAGAGCATGCCAGCATGAATAATGTCAAGAAGAAAATAACAGTAGTTCAACAGCATGCTGTGCAGTAATTTCACCAGTTGCAGTTTTCTCTTTTCATCATTTATTTAAGACTGTGTCTAGACAGTGCATTACCATTCACAGAATTTATGACTAATGCCCTGAAAAGCAAAGATACTGGAATAATATACACACAGAAATCACCTAGAAGCCATGTAAATTCTTTTATGGCTTAAAATATTCCCAAACTAGCTTTGACAGGAAAAAGTGTCAAGGCAACCACAGTGTTTCATGGACCAGAGTGCCCAACAACAAAGTGGCAAAGGCAGAAATTCTGCAGCTAAGCTTTACAAGAGATTTACAGATTTGTTAATGTTAAATAAATTAAACTCAGCAGCAGCTCTCAAGCCTAAAACATCCCTAGAGATGCTTTTAAAAAGCACGGAATTATATTGGGAAAAAAATATGTTGAAGATGTTACCAGGATGCCTTTTTTTTCCCATCCAAGAAGATGGTTTTGATTTTCAGAGGTTTTGAAACACCCTGAAAATCCTGATCACTCATAGAGTTTCTTGTGCAAATAGAGACAAACATAACTAGCTAGTGACTCTTCAACATTTAGGTGACACAGGTATTTCCTTGCACTACAGAATTAAAAACTACTTTCTCAGATTGCTCTTCAGCTTTGTCAGCTGATACAAACATGCACACGTGTGCACATGCATGTATATCAAAGAGACCTTACTGAAGTGATTATTCAACACAAATTAGATCTACTGGAAATATTCCCCAGCATGGAACTGCTGTGTGGAAACCACGTAAGATCAACAACAGGTCCATTGCCAGCCTGAGAAGGCTGCCTGGAGACACTGTAACCTGCAGGTCCAATTTTGCCATAACACATCTCAGAGCCAAATAATTTCAGGATTAAAAAAAACTGAGGGATGATATGTGTCTAATTATGCTTACATTCCTCTTCTCTAGCAAATAATTTTGAGAACAAGTAGAACACAATGGCCACTTCTGCATTCCCCCTTCTGGTAAAGGAATTTCCCTGCTAGACACAATATTCTACTAGTAACTGTTGAGCAAATACCTTGAAAACCTGTTTGGAAGTTCATTTTCCAATGCTCTGAAGCAAGTAGCATGAACACATTTTTCTTTACAGATCCTATGACAAGACATATGGCTCATATCCTCTCATGTCATGTTACATGATCTGATGCAGGAGCAGGTTCGGGGACATTCCCAAATAACTGAGTCACCCAAGTCTTATGACCCAAAGCCAGGGCCAGGATTGCAATAGGACCTTTCCTTTTAAAACTTTTGTTACAGTGTTGAGACTGCAAATTCCTGGTACAATAACTTGAAAAGGGGAGATGGAGAAAATACAATGTCAGGAGACAGAATTATGTCCTGCAGAACCTTCCTGGATGATGGAACAGTTCAGTCTGGCCAAGCTAATCCAATATGCCTGTTCAGTTTATAAAGCATGTAGATTTATTCACTGGGGGGGGGGGGAAGTTCCTTTTCCCCAAGGAATCCCTTCCACTTATGACCCAAGTTTTGCTAAAACTTAGCAATTTCTTGTTGACAACTGGTAGCCCTGATGTGGGAAAGGGAAAAAAACTCCCACCTTCAGTTGAAGATCATTAAGGCTTCTCAAGTATTCTTCTTAGAATTCATAACTTAGATCAGATATAAAAAGGTTCACCAGATCCCAGTCCTCCAACACCACCCTAAGTAACCAAAGAGGCCCTGAGAAAGTAGGCTCTAACGTAGCTTTGATCGGTAAGCAGCTGGTACCAACCTGTCCTGAGGCCACAGATTGTTTTAAATTAACACCAAAACTGAGTTTGCATCCTGGGAACTGACCCTGCTCCAAATCAAATGAGATATTATCCTAGTCTTGTCCCAAAAAATAGGTCCAAAAATAGGTTCTTTACCCAGTATTCCAAGTCCAATCCACATACACGGATGAAATACCAGGTTTATTACAATATTGGGCAAGGTTGGCTGCCAGCAGGCTAATGCCAAATAACTAGCACCTCATGCTGACAGAACAGAGAGCATTTACCCAGTAGAAGCTGAGATCCAATTACCATGCTTATCACACTTGTCTCTTGTCCCTGATTGATACACAGGAGGTGGGGCTAAAACTAAGTAGGGGCGTTTTACCTTGATAATAACCTCCTGTTATCTGTCCTGTTAATGATGCATATAAGACAGTGGAGCCAGCCTATCAGCCCTGGGCAGGCCAGCAATTACCACTCTTTGGTACAGTCATTCTGAGTACCATTTAACACTAGTGTCTCCTGAATTACTTCTGAGAAAAGCTCCTACTATAAATGCCAGCATGCTCAGGGCAGACATAGCACCAGGAAAGGCAATTTATTGCACTTGACCTGAATTAGGACAAGTAATGAGCCCTTGTAGGGGTAACAAGCAGGTGTCTTCTTCATGGGCACCCTGGATCTTTAGTGAATTTGCGACTAGGGGTGGCAAAGGCCAAGAATCAGGAGCATTAGTCTTGCACATCTACTTTTTACCAGGTTGGACCAAGCTTATTGTAGGTTTTTGCAGACTCACTGATGTCAGTGAACAGGAACATATTGCCCAGAACTGAATCAAGCCTTTACATGTCTTGATTTCAGTGAATCTTCTTCCATCTGACATTTATTTCAACAATTAATCTGACTAAAACTTACCTAAAGAGCAGTAGAGTCCAACTTGCTCATATCCTTCACAGCAATCTGTAAGTGTGATGGTTTCAGGTACTTCAACAGTATGATACTGAGTTTTGTAGTATGTCCGGGGACACACCATCCAAGGTATCCATCCTCCACAGGAAGTGCTTTTCTCATAGGACTTTTGGTAGGCAACCATTTTAAACACATTTTTGGTCAGGCTATAGTTGCACAGATGGTACCCTAGCAAAGAGAGGCCTTTTTCTAGGAAGAAACAAACAAAAAAACAAACAAGTGAAACAGGAAAGAAAGGGATCAGCACTAACTTGTCACAAGTTCCCCACACTATCTAGTTAAAAATCCTGTTATGAGAAAGCAAATGTTATGAATCAATCAGTTGTACGAGTACAGTACCAGTACCAGTTGTTATGAATCAACACAGATGAGTGATTTCCAAGAAAGCTGACATTAGGAACAAGATCACTTCAGAAAATGGACAGAAGAAAGAATTAGTAGTGACTACTTGTCATAGGCATCACTAGTCATAAAAAGATGGAGATTAGCAGAAAATTCAAAGAAGTGCCTTCAGGCACAAAGCAGGAAAAGAGCAATTTAACTCAAGTAAGTATAAAGGAAATTAATATATATTAATAGAAATTAACAGCAATGGAGAAATAGGCTCTTTCAGAGCAGAGTCATTCAAGTATTTCAGATGTCCATTCCGGGCTTATGCTGCCAAAATGTTCATCTTTCTCCACTGACTATAAAAGGAATGAAGGGCAAAGAACTCAGGGGCAGATGAGTCACAGTAGATGTCTGGAATAAGACATCTTTCAGACATTGCCCTAGGCTTAGCTTGGGTACTCATGCATCATTGGAAAGAACTTTCAGGTATCTGACACAAAAGGTATTCCTGGAGCTCTTATATGCTCCTATCTGCATTTGTAGCAGAGTATGTTAGACCAGGCCCTTTGTGAGCTTCTGTGGTTCATTGACTTCAGTATAAATGAAATCAGTAATAAGTTCACTAACTACATAACTTCATGCAAGTCTGGGAATAGGACTCAGTTTCTGGAGTTATGAAAACAGTCCTGATGAGGAATAAACTTGTTACATACTTTACTTAAAACTTAAATACTTGAGCGGCAACAGGAAAAAAAACAATCAAACACCAAAAAAAACACCACAATGAAACCCAAACAACAAGAGCAACAAAACCAGGTAGAGTTTAAGAATTAGCAGTAAGCAACCTACAATTATGTCACAGACACCAGGCTGTCTCCTAATGAGACAGCCTAATGTTACAGAAGCTGAGTCATCCTGTGTCCCATTTGGGAAACAGATGGGATAGAATTAAAATGCCTGTATCAACCTTTAGACAAAGCAAAAGAAATTTTTCTAAGGATAAATATGAATTAACCACTGAGATTCAAGTATAGCAGGATTGTTATTTCTGACAGCTCTGAGGGGAGCAGGGCCAGTCAACAGACAGACTGAAGCTAACATAATATACACAACATGCATACAATGAAAATATTTACAGCTAATCTTACTTGTACAGCTTATCTCGTACCTGAAAAGATGACACATGTAAAACCAATTAAAGAAGAAATAATTGTCAGGCTGTTAGGAATCACGTGCTTTTAACATGATTAGCATTACAGCAAAAAAAAAAAAAAAAAAGATACCTGAGGAACTTGAACAGAATTGGTAAAAGAACTGTGAACAGGGTGATCCATCTGTAGTGCAAGGGCAGCCCTGAAGAATGCATTGGACACAAACCGTAGGACACAATACGTTCCTAAAGTTGGCTCAACCACATCACCCAGAAAATGTTCCTCCTCTAGGAACTGCTCCAATAAGAACAGCCTGAAAGACACCTCCTGCCTTAGATATTCAAAAGGCTATGAAGAACAATAGATTTGCTTGGTGCATTTCCCAAACAGAGGCACAGATGCCTCCTTTAGGAAAAGGGCAACTGGAAGAGCAGAAGGAAGGAGAAGGTATCTGGGACTGACCACAGGGCACTCCCTGCCTTCCCTCTAGACTACAAAAAAACCTGTGTCTGGCCTGACCCAGGGGAAGCTTCGGGCCCCTGAGAGTCCAGCCCTGCTCTGCCTAACCCATCTGTGCCTTCACCCTGCAGCAAAAGGCAGAGTTTGATGCCAGGGTGTCACACCACAGAAGAGAGGTGTGAGAGCAAGACACCTTCCAGCAGGCTCCAGGGAGCCCCGTGCTGATGCTTAGAGCTGGTCAGCAGGGAAACATCAAGAATAACAGCACATCTAGAAATCCCCCTGCCCGTTCCTCCTCCTTCCCAGCTTCAAGGAGTCCCTGAAGCTAGCTCCAGAGACAGCAGCTGAAAGACCTTCCCATCACTAAAAAGCACTAGGACTGCTCTTTGTCCTTAAGGAGTGAATGAAAGGAGATGGTCATGAGGGGAAGGAAGGAAGACACCTAGCCAGTCCCAAGCTAAAGGACTGAAACCCACACCCTGCCTGACCCAGGAGAGGACCCCAATGGCCAGGATGGAGGTCTGACCAGGGCCATAAAAGCCCATATCCTGCCATGGCATGTAGGTCACTGTGCAGAAGGAAACTTGAGGCAAAGTGAGCCAGAGAAAGTAATGTGGC